ATTTTTTGGCTTGGTTAACCATTAGCCAATCAGCAACCACGGTAACCCCCCCTCCCCCTTATCACCTGAATCTCCTCCTAGAGCACCATTGAGTTCTTTTTAACCAAATATCTCTCAGAGGGGCGTGGGGAGGGGCTCCTTGTTTTCATCTAAAGTAACAGACAGAGAATCAGCACTTTTGAAACAGCGCTGAAACAGAGGGGATTATGGGTAATGCTGCATTGATCTGCTTTGGTGGTTTGGAGCCAAACAGCTCAGAGAGCATGTGTTTGTTATATATCTTTGGACCTATAATATATAGTTTATGAAACAGGTATTACAGGGACTCTTATAAAGTTACGCTATCGTAATTGGCATGGGCGGCTTTTAGTGAGACAGGTGGCGCAGCGTCAAGTGGCTAGTTTTGTGGTTTTGGTGCTTTGGATATTCTTTTTTCAACAGCAAATATCTGAACGATATTATTACTTATTTTCAGGCCAGCAGAGGAGGGTTTGATGAAGCATATTAATTGAGGTATTTAAACACAGAAAGGTTATTTAAACAGCCCACCCAAATTATGGCATCTAGGACTCAAGGCATTTCTTTTTAGTTTTCCTTTTTTAAATGGGATGAAGCAGTCTGGAGTAACCGAAGCGGAAACAGAGCCTTGGACATTGTATGATCTATACTTAAGGCTAAAACTAAGATTAAAGACACCGTAGGTATAAAATTCATACGGCATAGTAGAAGGTCATGACAATCTTACATTTTTGATTGAATAGATGCATTTTTAGAGTTTTGGCACATTTTTGTCTTGGAATTGAGACCACTCAGAAGCACCAATTAGGGGTGTTGTGATTTGTATATACACATTGTCAATCTCGATTCAGGTAAAACATTCTCTTTGAAACTGTTGCCACAAAGTATATCTAAACAGACTTGAAAAGTGCGTAAGATGTTTTCTGGTCAGTTGTGAGTTGGATGAGATCAATATCTCAAAGAGAGGCTGTATTGTTGAAATGTGTGGTTCGTGAGTCTGAATGCGGTCAAGGAGTTTCCCCCAGGGCTTTGAGTTTTGTGGGGCTAATGGAGTATGAAGCCCTCTGTCCGGCAAATGTCCACGGGGGGGTATGAAAGCCCTCTGTAATCAGCGAAATGTCAACGGGGGGGTCCCGGGTGTGAACGTTGTGAATCAGCTGTTTTTGCAAGTGCTTGCTGTTCGACGCAACGTTT